ATYTTAGAGGAATATGAATAGACCTGGAAATGTGGAGAAACCTGGGCTGGAACAGAGACAGAGAGGGAAAAGGGCAGGAGCACCAGCAGACATGTTGGGGCTGGAAGGAAGAGGTTTGCAATAGGAGAGGTCAGGGAGGAATAGTGCAGTGTTTAAGTTTCTCTACAGATTTGGCACTGAACCAGAGTAGAGGGTTTTGTACAAATAGGAGAGCATATTGTAATTACTCTAAAGATCTTAGACCTGGAACTGACCCATCTGTGGAGTCGGGATGATTTCACAACTTAGGMTTTCTTTTTTTTCTTTCTCTCATTTTTTCTTTTTTTTTTTTTCTTTTTTTTTTTTTTTAAGCTTGAAAGGTATGTCTACAATATCTGCTTGAGAGCTGTAGGATGGATATAATACATCATAAGTTTGCAAATTTAGAAGGAATTGCTGCTTAGGTTCTATAATCTTCACAGGACTTCCTTTGGAAGAAGTACATCTTGCTTTGGAAGAAGTACATCACTACTGTGATGTAGTCTTTACTTGCTTGGCATTCTCTTCTGTGAACAAGCTTAATGCCTAGATTTATTATTTCTTGAATGCCTACCTTTATAAATATCACTGTGTTCTAATGWACTTTACTGTTCAATTATATTCCCTTTTGAGGAATACTGTGGAACATCTCAGTTTTTGTGTATGGGGTAGCTGATTGTAAGATAGACACAAGTCTATTTATGCTAGGTAGAAAATAGATTAGATTGCTCTCCTAGTCCTTACAGGATGCTTATAAGAATTTGGTAATGCTGTTGTGTGAGTCTCTATATATATGTATAAGTGAGAGCAGCCTTTGAATAGCGTTGCCCTTTCCTCGCTCCATTGCTCTCACTGTGTGCAGCAGCAAGGCAAACAAACATATATATGTTTATATGTGTGTGTCGCTGTATAAACATATATTCCATATTCCTCGGTTCAAGTTTGTATGTCCTGCTTTTTTCAAAGAATTCTGTTTAGATTTTATTTATGTAAATTTTATTCTGGCCTTTAAATGTGACATTTGCTGTTTCAGGCAGCTGGGCCTTCATAATAAATCAGGGTGAACTAGAGTAATTATTGTAATTATAAAGTATTAAAAGTAAAAGCAATAGTAGGAAATATTATATCAAAATAGTAATAAATTCCAAATTAATGAAAACCATTTGTTAGTCATTATTTATTCTCTTCAGTATAATCAGCATCAGAATGGCGTGATAAGTTACTGTATGTACTTCTTTAAACCAGGCTATGCTTAAACCTCAGTATGTACTTCCTTAAACCAGGCTATGCTTAATCCTGTCTTGAACACTTACAGTACTGCTAGTTAGATTTCACTGTGTCTTCCTATACATATGAACGTACATGAAAGTCAAATTCGGAAGATTTTCCAATGAAATCCTTCAGCTTATGCTCCTAGTGTGAAGGCTTCTGAAAGTCATCACTTTCATCACGCACCAGTTGCAAAAATAAAACTCACCTTTGCTACAAGAATCATAAAACCATCCTTACAAACCAAACAAAGCTMAAATGCTGAATATTCTGTCTTCTACTTTAGGCTAAAAATACTCCTTTACTCTAAATAACCTTTTTGATAGTCAACCATTTTGGTAACCGTTCTGCCAGTCTGTTATAGCAAGCCTCAGGTTTTTTTACAGGTCATTTTAATGGCACAGAAATATCTTGAAATTTGAACCTCATTCCAAATGCTCCTCATTTTTCCTTTTTTTTTTTTTTTTTTGCACTTTTTCATTAGCTCAATTTGTAGTTTGACCCCTGTCCTTTTATGAGATGAAAACTGCTTTTTCAGTATATCAAACTTGCTAAAATTCGTTGATGGCAAAAGTTCTTTATATTCCAGCCACTTTTGTCTCATGATAGTTCAATTAAARCACATGGTGGTTTTGGTTGGTTTTTCCCTAGAGATCACCTTGGTAAACTGAGGCATGTGTTTTGCCTTTGTGCTGCAACACTGTATGTGTGCGTGTGCCTATATGCACTTAGGCTGAAAGAGCAGCCAGAAAAGTTAGAGGTGGTTTTATATTTGCTGGCCTAGTAATAGTAAACGTGGCAGAGACTCTGACCATGCTACACCGGAGGAGTCACCAGRGAGGTCAAAAGAAAACCGACTTGGCCAACAACATTTTTTTTTCTCTCTGCCAATTCCAGGAAAAGCGGCAAACGTCATAAAAGGAAGTAGTTTTCTGTAATACAAGCAAAAATGAGTATGTGGTGATAAGAAGGTATACTAAAACTCTCAGACGTCAGACACATCATCCCAGACTGCATCGTAAATGCACTTGTCTCGGAATCATTACTGGTGTAATGCATGTAAGAAAATCAGTCTCCATAACGTGGCTAGTACCATATGAATCATGCACTCGTAGGCTACTGAAAATTGGCAGTGCTTGCCAATTGTAACTCCACTGAAGGCAGTGGAGTTACAGACACAGCAGGGCTGCGGGTGCCCTATCTGCGTTGATGCAGGTTGGCAGTGTCAGCGCTGCACGGAAGAGATCATTAAACCTCAAGCCATTCTGGGCTCAGAAGCAGTCTACAGAAAGGCATCATCTGTGGAGAGGCAGCCTCATTTGTTTGCTGTAGAGGCACAAAGGATGAATTTGTTATTGCTAGGCAATAAATATGACTGCTAGATAAATCTCATTGAGTGTTGCATTGTATATCAGGTGACTCGGTAACATGCATTTCTGTGGAGATAATGCCCATCTTATAGCAGAAAGGTCTTGCTGGGACTGTGACAACGTGAATGGTAGAACTGATTTACTGTCATGTCTCCATGTACAAGCTGTGGAGAGCGCTGCAGTGCTGGAGCTGCTTTCGTGTGATAAAATGAAAACAGGAGCATATAGTCAGAGAGAAATGATGAAATGCATAAAGCACTCAGCAGCCTCAAAAGCACTGTCGAAGTRACAGCAATAGTTGATACTAGATAGGTAACTGCCATTTAGCAGTTTGAGTGCAGTACTTCCTTTTGAGAAGAAATGTCACACTTCTATTGAAGAAAAGTGGCTCAGGAGGTAAAGCTTCTCATCTCTGCACATGCACGCTGCGGGGGTGAAATCTGTGGTTCATGCATGGAACCACATTGCATTATTTACTCATACCCAAATGTCTACAGACTGCCAAGAACATCCCAGTGACACCCTTCTGTTCCATCAGGTTAATTCCAGTGGAAACTGCTTCCTCTTTGTGCCATAGAAACATTCCTGCATCTGAAGTCCTTGGAAGAAATACATGGAGTAATCTCCATGTTTTGATTAAATAGTATCAGTCTTCCCTAATAAACACACGATGCYTAATAGAGTAGACTGGTGTTGCACCTGCTGTTCAGCAGATGATAGTTAACATGTACTTGTTGGAGTTAAGGTTGATCTCCCATTCTAACATTTGGCTGTTATGTGACTTGGTGTGAGATGTACTGGCGTGCATTTAGTGTTTGTCAAAGGCTTATGTTCCATGGGTTTGTCCACTACCTTAGAGTGTTGCTTTCCATCATCCACAGCATCCAATGGCAAGGAATTCCGCAGCTTTCATGCTATGCTCAGTGAGGAGTGACTTCTCCGTTTACATTCTGCATCTGCTGGCTTCCTTAGGTGTCTCCTCAGTCATCTATTCAAAAATACAGTGAATAACCAACTCCTCAGTATCCTTGCCACTCTCGATGGCACAAGGCTCTAATACTTCTCCCATTTCCCCAGACCATCTCTTTTCCCAGCTGTAGGGCTCTAGGTTATGTAATTTGTATAGTCTCATGATGTTGCCAGTTGTCAAGGTAATCCTCGTTACCTTCCCCTGACCCAGTTCTGTTACTGCTCGTTGAGGTGAGGTGCTAGAACTGTACTCAACATTCAGTATGCAGAAAAYGCCATGGGACTGTGAAGCAACACAGGGATTTTTATGTTTTCGCTATTCTTGTTGTAGTAATTCCTCAAAAGTTGTGTTTGGCCTTTGTTGAAAATGGAACTGCTTTTTTTTCATGTACTTAAATACCTGTTGTTCCAAGATCACCTTCCTGACTGTCACAAATTACAATTTTTCTTCCTATGATCTGTTGCATTTATATAATTTGAATTTCCTATGTGATTTGATGTTCTGTTTCAAAAGTTTCTCCTGATCTTCACATGAACCCTGTTTTCGCAGTAACTCAATATTCCATCAGGAAACTTTYGCTCCCCTTTTTCTGAGGTCGCTTGTAAATACAAGAAGCACAGTTGAAATCCACTTCGAAGTGGAACATAATTTATCTATCACCTATAATTTATTAGACATATAGTCAAGAATATACTTAGAGCAATCAATGTTTTATGAATATGAATCACACTTCATTTCTGCTTTTGAGAGTCCTCATRCCTATTATGGTTCTGATTGATTATGGGAATATTGTGGTCTGATATTTCTGAATATCWCTGGGTAGGGAGAAGAGCAGCATAGTGTCCCAAAAGATGTATCCAGCCTTGCTAACACCGAGGCCTATAGCAGATATGATATATGCAGCAGTGATAACACAAGGACTGCTACCACTTTTCCCTATCATGTACAGCAAATGCTGGTGCAGACAGGAGATCCAGGTCTCCCTGATACCTCCTAGTGGATCTCCTCCATGTCCTCTATAAGATTTCAGTGTTAGATGTATGCAGTGTATGCATCGGTGCACCCAGAATGTTGATGTAACAGTTTTTAAAAATAAGGCATGCTGTAAGGTCATTTTTATTTGATTCTGTATTAACCACATGCTCAGCAAAGCACGGGGCTTAGTCTTTTATTGTTATTTTAGTATTAAAAGTTTTGGACGAAATTACCAAATACAGGCTGCCATAGTTACATATATTAATATATATTAAATTCTTTAATATACTGTATTCATTTTTGCAATCTATAGACTGTGGTGAGCAGAACTAACTTAATATGATCTACATGTATTCTGTTTTTTCCAATATTTGAGTCACCCTTCTTTTCTCGTTCAGGTACAGACAAATGCAACTTGGCACAGAAAGCAAAGTAGCTGAACTTCTTCACCAAAGTAAGTTAAAGTCCTTTGAAAGTGAACATGTTCAACTCATGCAGCAAGAAACAGCTAAGAATCTTTCACAGTGCCAGATAGAATGTGAGAAATATCAGAGAAAGCTGGAGGTATGTTATAAAAATACTTTACTGGGTATTATGTAGTCTTTTTCAGTTAGAGTTTAAAAATGAAGAAAAGCTTGGTGAGAAGGCAACAGAAAATAAACATATTTCCATGTATTTCTACCAAGTTCTGTGGAAGCAAAATCTAATGACCAAGTTTACAATGACCAATTTAATAACCAAGTTTGAGTTTGACAGATTCAATGGAAAACAAGATTGAGGGATGAGTAAGACAACAGTTTTCATCTTCTCTCCTTTTTGATGGAGTTACTCTTTTTTAATTTCCTTTTAAAATACATGTAGGCCATATACTAAGACTATTTTTTTCTTATCCTTTCTTCTTACAAGGTATTAATCTTAGTAGTGTTGTGTTCACTAGTATATTGTGGGTCAACTACTTCATGAACGAGCTCTTGCTTTTATTTGAGTTTCAGCACATTGTGCTTTCTCATGTATGCTAAAGGCAGGAACCAGCTATTTCATATATTGCCAAATTTTGCCATATAAACTTATTCTTAAGACAGTAGATGAATGTTTTTATTTCATCTTTTTGTGTTTGAGTTGCTTCTTTCTCTAAGCATTGTGTATTCTTCAGTGCTTTTAACAGTTATTCTGGTACTGTTGCTGTATACACTGTGCATATACATCTCTATCTTGAGATTTAAATTCAGCTGTCATCTCCCTCGTTCTGAATCTATATTTGAGAAGTCAATATTGAAATACAGCTACAGTACTACTTGATTATTACTTTATTTTTTTTCTGTGCAACACACAGGTAATGACATTACTAACCAAGGATTCTGTCATTCCAGTTGGTTTTATAATATTTGTCAGTGTTATTTTCTGTTTCAGGCACCATATTAAACTTCCCTTTTAAGCTTTAAGGTTTTTTACAGATCCTTATAACTTCTACTTTCAAATATGGGGCATATCTTATTTATACTTAATGAATTAAGTATTTAGATTAGTGTTGATTAAGGGTATGTTACCTTTCAGTAATAAGTAACTTACGTGATTTTTAGTAAGTAATAAGAACCTAGTGTATCTTAAGATACTGAATTTTGATCATTATGTCTTTGCCATCTGTAAAGGAGCCACCATTGCTTTTTCAGTTTCGTAAGTGAATGTAAAACCATTTAAAGAACTGCAATGAATGTGTTTTTTGCTGTTAATTACATGTTAATTACATGTTAATGCTGTTCTTGTAGCTATTTCRGGGATAAATTCTTAGAATTACTAGTGCCTTGGTGGACTGGCATTAAGTGTCATGTGACCTGACAGTTTAATCTATGCAAGGTAATGCAGTTGAAAAAAAAGCCACTTTTTAAAGCATTTTATCTCTTCCTGTGCAAAAGTTAGATCAAATGTAATGCATTATTGCTATTTAGTGAACCTGTTGAATGTCTGCCTTTACCTTTCTCATGAAGAGCTATAAACCCTGAGCTCCTCACGGGTTCTTTGTTCCCTCTCACAGGTCCTTACTAAGGAATTTTACAGTCTCCAGTCTTCCAGTGAAACACGCATTATGGAACTTCAGACACAGAACGCTGAGTTTCAGGCAAGGCTGGATACCTATGAAAAACTTGAGAAAGAGCTTGATGAGATAATAATTCAAACAGCAGAGAGTAAGTTCTGACCCAGGCTGTCTTGTGCTTTGAGGTGTTTCTTGAGGACATTCTGGCAGGATGTGTTCCTTGTCACGGAACTTGGAAATTGTCACACAATGTCTGGCATTTTCCATCCTCCTGCACAACAATGAGGATGCAGTCAGTAAAGGTTTTAATAGAAAATATTAATGATGTATTTATTCAAATATTTTTAAAATATATCAAGTTAGATGTATGGATATTAAAAATAATCCCATTGTTTTGATTTTCTAAATAGATATAAGGAATTTCTTATGACAGATAAGTATGTTATGAGTATTAAACCATGACTTAAATTTGAGAATGTTAAAGGCTTTTTAACTATTCTTGAAAACTGTTATCTCTGGTTGGAAAAAAAAAATGTATATCCTCAAACATACCAAAATTCCTGTGAAATCATTTCTTTGTAGAGAATTCTATGGATTATATTCATATCCTTAATGAATCCACAAAGCAAGTCCTTTCTAATTAGAAACTAAGACTCTAATCTTGATGTCTTTGAGCCTGTATGTAAATAGAGTAATCCTTTTTAAGATTTCAGACTAATTCGTGTTGTCTTCTTGCCCTTCTCTCTTTGCTCATGACAATTTATAAATAATATTTTTCAGGTCTGGTAGAAGAATGTTATATTAGCTTTATTTGTAAAAATGGTAAATAACAGACAGTGTGATTATTCTGTGATGCCTGGCTATATCTTCAGTAACTAGGTTGTATATATTTTATTAATTTTATAAACTGCATCTTCTACTTGTTAGAATGGCATGACCACCCAAAGGTTGCAGAATGACCATAACCATATTTGTATATACTTGCTTACATTTAGTCAGTAACATGATTTTTGAAAACTATGTGCTGTCTTATCCAAGGAGTATTTATGTATTAATTCAGAATATTTGGATTTTGTTTCATTTTTGTTGAAGAAAATCAAATTCAAAATGTTATTTTGAATACACAAGCTTGCATTTTCTCATGCATCAGAAAAGCTCTTACTCATGCAGACCTAAATTACTCTTTAACTTTTTGCTAAAWGTTGTAAAATGTTCTATTTACTACTTGTGTGCTACAAAATATCATTGAAAGAAATGAAAGTTTACAAATGATCTCTGCYCAGTGAAAATATAATGGCAGTTCCTTTTTAAATTCTGTTGGAGAAAAAAGTGATGAGTTACAGTACAATATTATTTCAGTAGATACTCTATTTAGTAACTCACATTGTTTTTCATTACCATTACTATAGTCTTTAACAGTAGAAGTTATGATTAAGAATCATGAAGGCTGAATTCCAGTTGAATTACAYTAAAATTGAAAGCCAAGCACTTGCAGGGGTTTTTAGTTTTCCTCAGAACAAAATCTTTTCTTCCTTTCGGGGAATGTGCATCTAGAAGATACCACTGAATTGGGACTTCTAGTCCCTCTGCATTGTGTCTCACTTTAGTATTGAAATAACAGGAAATTGAAATTCCAGAATCTACCTAGAAGAATGTATGTAGACCCTCCCTAGAGCGTCTGAGTGGCTTCCACACGAGATAATTAACAAAAGTAAATTGTCTCAATATCTGTCTCTCCCTCTTCAGGAAGTAAAATCTTTCAAAAGTATAATCTCACTTTTGGGTTTTTTTCTTGTAGACTGAATGACTTTATTGCTTCCTACTGGTTGGTATCTTTAAAAAAAAAGAAAAAAGAAAAAAGAAAAAAGAAAAAAAAGAATAATTTTTTCCCTAAGAAGTTAAAATGTAGGAGATAAAAAAACCTCTTCCCTAACTTTTCAGATGCTACTGAGAGATAAGAATTTAGATTTTAGGCTGTTATTGGCCAGTTTTTGGACAAATACAACACTGAACTTGTGGTTGAAAAGAAGGATTATTACTGAGGCAGTTGAAGAGATATTTATGTTCTTCTGGACCAGTGGTATTACAGGAGCTGGAGAATTCCCTGTCATAAAATCGGCCTTTAAATTAGGAATTTCTTGTGTCTTCAAACTTCAGCATCAGTAAACTTCATCCTTCATACTTGCTGGAAATTCTTTGCTGTTTTGGGTGTGCCTAGACGTAGAGCTAGCACAGGAGCTCTACTCTGAAAAAACTTTTCATGAATATGTTCTAAAAATCCCTCTTTAAAATAGCATTAAAGGGGCAGTAGAGAAAGGAGGAAATCTGTTGTATATAGTTTTGCAAATTGTTTTGGGGAGAATTTATTTCTCGTTTCAAGCGATAGAACAATAGGGAGGAAAGAATGACTCAGATAGGACTTTCACACCATTTCTTAAATTTCTTTGACCTATTGTCAACTGCCTGATTCACCAAAGCTGCCATGTGGTTCCTAGGCAGGTGTGCACTTACCAGAAACTTCTCCTGAAAATCACAGGCTTTCAAAGAGAATGGAAAGCAGCCTCTCAGTGTCACCGGCTAGTTCCTTCAGTGACCTCAGATGCACGCCACCACATACCATGACTTGTATTTAAGTCCAGTTAAGTGACTGTACTTAATCCAGCTGACTTAAGTACTCTCTAACTTCACCTTCCTCCCCTTCCTTATGAATGCACAGACTGAACTATTTAGGAAAAAAAATAAACAAGCGAACCCTGTACTGCTGAATTTATCCTACACTTTTAGCGTATATATTTTGTGACCATATAAATAATAATGTGCAAAGACATGGAACTCTTTTCCTATAGTTTCACAATTCATAAGTCTTATGTTGACTGGAAAAATAAAAAGTGAGATGCCTGCCAGTGTCATAAGAAGCAAATACAGAGCACTGCCTGAGTGCTGTTTGTGAATTCACATAGTGATTTCCATTGCATTCCAGAAGGTATGGCAGTTCACACAACTGAAAATTTAGCTTCTAGAAAAGTGTCTTTGCACATGTAGAATTATAAATAGAATTTCTTAGGAGTTTGTAAGTTGTTGCACACTAAATATATGTTTGACAGCTTATTAACAGCACCTTGCTGGATTTTTTTTTTTTTTTTGCAGTGGAAAATGAAGCTGAAGCTGAAAGGGTTCTCTTTTCATATGGGTACGGTGCCAACGTTCCTACAACAGCCAAAAGACGACTAAAGCAAAGGTGAAAAGTGCCTTCCTCCTGTGTTTACTTGCTGAATATGGAGTAAATTAAGATGTTGGTTTTGTTCAGTCTTAGAAAAAATATTAACTTAGAGATTTTTAATTACTGTTACATGCAAAGAAATAAGATAAAGAACAAGACATCTTTATGTGATAAACACATAGAACCTATATAAACGTATAACTTATGTATGAACATATAACACAGGTAAGTGTTCCATTATCTGGGATTGGTTAAGAAGAAAGGATCTATTACAAACATGGAAAATATTTTCCTTAAAGTCCACTACTTGCTCTTTAATTTCAAGTTTCTGGTATCCTACATGAAGAACTCTGGCAAGTGTATAGCAAGTGCTTCAGTATCTGATTGAAACTCTGTGCTAAAGCACCCTCAAAGGGATAGCACGTGATATGACACTTGTTGACCTCCTTGTCAGAGAAAAAGAAACTATTTTGTGACTTTTGACATGGAGATCGTGCACATATTAGTAATTTAAACATGCCTGGAAAGACTTTCAAGCACTGAGGCCACTACAGCAGTACACTGCCCTAGTACTGTGCTCTCAGCATGTGTTAGCTGCATGTAAGCTACAAATTGGCAACAGCTGCTGATTTGGGAACTATTTGGGAGAGTGTTGATTGTCACRTGCCAAAGTGCTGTCAGGGTCACTAATGGTTTGCTGTATAAGTAATCACAGTCTTGAGCACTGCATAATTTCCTAGGGTGGATGTAACCCTAGTTTTCCAGAATGAGCTGTTTTTATAGACAGTTCCCTTTATCCGTTTGCTTAGTCTAACTTTAAGCTGGTCAAAACTGATAAACCTACCTGAAACATATAGTTGTGACTCATTAAATATTTGCAAATTCAAGTCAAGTTCACTGAGTAGTTTCAGATGGAAAAAGTATCGTGCACTGCATTCCCCAAGTTGGCATGGTAAGATATCCCTGTTTCCCCTGTACTCCAATAGCTAAAAGAGCCCTCATTTGAGGTATGGAGAAGTGGCTCATTTCTCTGTTCTTCAGAGTGGATCATAACATACATCTATCTCCTAAATAAAAGAAGCCACTATTCTGGAGAATTATTTTTACTTTTTCTCATTTAATACCTTCATAAAGTTTGAGGATCTTTATAGAGAGAGTAGCCTCAAATTACCCTTTGTCCAACTGTGAAAATTATGTGTAGAATGTGGCTCGTGGTGGTCCCTACTAAGCTAATTTCAGATAGAGTTGCCCATCTCCCCATTATTTGCCTAAATCAGCTTCTTCACTTCTCCTAAGCTTTCTTTAAAGTGATGTTCAGAATCTCTTCAGTCTCCTGAGCCCATAGGTATTTTGATGCTCTATTTCCACCTGAAAATATCCTTTTCTTGGTACTCTGTGGTATTCCTACTGAAAAACTATGTGTTGGTAACATAAGTTAAAGGTATTTTCTGACTCTTCTGGGATCTCTTTACCTCTTAGTAAGTATAATTGAGAACGTCAGGACCATCCTGGCATGCAAAATGAAAGTAAGGGATTATCTGTTTGAAAGGGTAGGTTTGTATGGTGTGACACTGGTGAGGAGCGTTAGTATCTTCTGCCCAGTGTAACAGTGTATTCCACTTTATTGAGGAGGAGGTGGTAACTACGGGCAGATTTTCAGTAAAAATAAATGCACTCATCTGGCTTTACATATCCTAAGCCTTAGCTTAATGGTAAATAAAGCTCCATGTCATTCCCCTTTAGACAGCTTATGCTCTTATAGTTTCAATAGCAAGGTCAGGAATTGGATAACCCTTTGCTATCTATTATTTGTAGATTTACAGTCTTACATTTTCAATTTATGGACAGTGTCTGCTCAGAGTCTAATGTCTGGAGAGGCTGCTCTCTTCTATATGTACATTTTTGAAAATTGTTACTTATTTGGATGGATTTTGTATCTAAAGCCTGTAGTTCAGTTATTAGAACACACTAAAGGGAGATAAAGGGAGGTATTAACACAGTACACCTTAATTATAGAGCTTTGAATTTCCCGTGTCATACTTGTATGATAAGTTGGAGGCTAGAATTTCTCACTAGAAGGATACAGTCATGTCTTTTCCAAATAAATTTTTCACTGGAAGTTGCCAAACTGAATATTGAATATATTATATTTGAATATATATAATTATTGAATATATTACCAATATGTAAGACATATATACTTAGAACCTAGTTTAAGATGGGACATCTAACTACCCTTTTCAATCAGTGTAGATCTAATCAATACAATCAGTGAAGTTGGGAGTCAGCTAGATGTCCATTTTAGGGAAAACTGGGAAAAAAAGTGTGACTGTACTGAGAAGGACTGTATTGATTATAAGAACAGCTTAAGCAAAACAGCTATGTTAGAAATAGGAGCCTACATTTAGGCTATTCAGTTGCAGACTGAATCCTTCCATAGCTATCTAGGGAATTATGCAAGTGAATTGATGGCAAATTTTGAATTTGGATGTGAAACATGTGAGAGGTTGAGGATCTATTTATTTTTATATTATACTTTTTTTTTTTTTATTTTTTGTCCAGGGTGTTTAGGTAGCTGAATAATCCAGTCTCATCAATTATAAGTTCTAGGAAACTATAAGATATATCCTTTTCATCTGGGAAAGAGTTTAATTAAAAAAAAAATACAGCAATTGTATATTGCAGTTACATATTACATCTAGGATACTTAATATTGGATAAGGTAATTTCTTCTCTGTTTGGAAAATAAGTATTGTATTCACTGTTACTCAAAAAAATGTACCTTAAAGTGAAGAGATGTGTATTTTTAAGAGGAGGCTGTTTATAATATTTTCTAAAGTTTTTAGAAAGCAATTAGCCATATAATCAGTTGAAATATTCTAATATGATTTTTGACACTATATAACATCATGCAAATGATTTAGGTAATTACTTTGTGATAAAAAATGATACAGTGGCATAACTGTAGGAATGCTATTTCAGTACTGCTAAATTTGTTATATTTTTCTTCTTACAACTTTGATCATTCTGCATGGTCTCTCTGTATGGTTTATGTATTAATACTTAAGCACTAGTGATATTAAATCAGTCATGTTCTGAATATATATATATGCATAAGAATTTGTTTGCATATTTTGGAAAAAAATAAACTGGAGCTTGCTTTTTATTGGCACAGTGTTCATTTGGCAAGAAGGTTATTGCAGCTAGAAAAGCAAAACTCACTGCTTGTAAAAGATCTGGAACATCAGAAGGAACAAGTAACACAGATTTCACAAGAGGTAAACTATTGCCACAAAAAATAAAATATGTAGAAACTGTAAATATTGAAGAACAGCTGTGCATAAAATGAAATATATTCTAAAGAGTACTTACTGTGTATTTCATGTCACAAAATGGCCTCATAATTGACCAAAACGTTATAGTGAAGTTTTTCAAAGAGATTTGTATTGTATTTTCAAACAAAAATGAAAAGGGGTTATTTTATAGGCTAAGCAAAAATGTGGGGTAGACAAAGTTCTGATTTCTGAGCAGAATATCAGCTAGACAGGCTAGTTTGTTCTGTCCAATAATTAATTATTCAATAAAGACCTCATTAATTTTTGCGCAGCTAGGGAATAGGGAATATTTAATATAAACTGCTAAAAAAGAATCTAGTTTTTAACTATACAACAAATTTCAGCATTATTTTAAAATCTATATGTGATAGCTGGAAACACCTGTTGTGTTCATATGGAGAATAATTGCTGAATAAGAATCAACTGGAAGTAATTTTTGGAAATATTTTTGAGATTTTCTTTCAAGTGTGTCCTAGGAACCAGAGAACTTCTAGGTTTGCTGTAGTTCTTGCCAGCATATGGAATTCCTAGGATAACTGTTTCAGGAATGAAGTTAGCAGTTTGACTTTTTAAACCTATGGTAATTAACGGTTAGGATAACTATACCAAAGTACTTCTTTACAATGCAAATTCTTGMATTTTCTGCATATTTTAAAATATGGTTGAATTATTCTGTAGTGAAATCTTGTGTAGAGTTTATTTTAACCGATGTTAAATTTTATTATGGATTTTTTCCTAGTTTTTTGTTAGATATTTGCATTTGACAAAAATATACTTTTCAAATGTTCTTGACTTGAACGCCTCGGGATGCTCCATCCAGCATTAGCCATGCTTTAACTATCACCAGAAAACATGCGCTTTATTTCTCTTTGGAATCTCTCTGACTTCCACTTCCATACAATCCCACTGATCTTCGGGATCAGTGGTGAAAGATTTACTGAACCTACCTTGGTTCAGATCCACTGAACAACACTCCCCTGGAACATCTTCACCGCCTTTTACTCCCCCATGGCCTCGTAGCCCTTTTTTCATGATGTTAATAGACACTTGTTTGATCCTGTGATTTTTGAGTTTAAATCAGAATGTCATCCAATAGTACGTTCAGTGTGGTGTTGATAGCTAACCCATGGATACCCACTTTAACCTCTTAAATAAAATGTCATTATCAAAAAAATCAGAGGATGGTTGAGGTTGGAAGGGACCTCTAGAGATCATCCAGTCCAACCCTCTGCTCCAGCAGGGACRCCCAGAGCACGGGGCACAGGGCGGCATCCAGGCGGGTTGGGAAGATCTCCAGGGAAGGAGACTCCACAGCCTCCCTGGGCAGCCTGTGCCAGGGCTCTGGCACCCTCACAGTGAAGAAGCTCTTCCTCACATGGAGATGGAACTTCTGTTATTATACCTGTTTTCTATTAAAAGTTTGTCTGGTTTTAAAGTCTGAATGCTTCATGGGATTTTTTTTTTTTTATGTTTTTTTATAACCCACTCAATTTGATATCAATGCAATTCTGCAATAATCACACAAAATTCATTATTAGCAATGAATTGGAAACACTTAATTTTGCTGTTACACCAATCAATAGTCTGACTTCTTTTGAAACAGGACACAAATATTTATAGAGCAGCTTATTGCTTCTAAGGCTCACTTTATKTTAACTGAAGTTTAAGTAAATAGAAAGCTATAGATGAGCTCCTTCAAAGTAGTGCTTGACACTGAATTTGTGAGCCAAATTAAATTTAGGGAATAATTAATCAGTTGATTTTGCAGAGGTTTTTTACCAACCATGCCAGAACAGAAAGATGACAATTTCTTTTGTCTAGAAAGCTGCCATGGTCTTTGGGAGGCTTAACAAACGAATACTGAATCAGCATAGAGTAAAAATTATACCATAAATTTAAAAAAAATAAATAAAATAAAAGAATGTACAAAGCCAGTACATCTGCCTTGCTGCCAATTGACTTTTGTGACTTTCTCTATGATGTTGTTTATGGGCTTTTTTATATCTCAGCTGAAAAGTTTTTACTGAAAATATGTTTACAACTCACTCTGAAAGAGAATATAAATCAAGATGAATCATGATGAACGCGTTAACCTTGATAGTAATGTATATTGAGGCTTAAATAGTTAAATGTCCAGTTGCAAAAGATTAGCTTTAGCATTTAAAAGAAAAAAAAAAAAAACGCAGATATATCTAAGGAACTCTTGTATGTTAGTTAAGAAAATAAAGTTACTTAAAAAGAAACTCCAACTTTTGCTGAAGGATAAGATTAAGAATAAGAATTAAGATTCATACATATGCATATGCATTTATAACAAGCCTGGGTATATACACCTGTATTTAGACACTGCTATAAATCAGTAAAATTGACTGAAATGCATTTCTTGATTAATATATTTTAATGATCATTTCTTTTAAGTTTGAAGAAAACAATAGACACCAAAGCAGCACCATCATGAGGGAAGGAAAAGCCCTTTTTTTTTTCCCCTCTTTTTTCTCTTTTTTTTTTTTTTTTTAATAAATTGACTTGCATTTTAATGAAAAAAATTGCAAGAGAGGAAATGAGGTAGCAACATCAAACCAAGATTGTAATTCTGCACCTGTCTTTTCCAGCAAAGCACTTCATTCTTATCAGTGAGAACAATGAGAAACTTCATGGTGACAACACTCCTTTAATGTTCTTACGTTATCAGGAACAGGATTCCAAACACCATGAGTCGGATTCATTTTGTTTCTCCTGTAATGACCATCCCAAGTTTCTGTGTACTATTTTTAGGCCCTCCTAGAGATTAGTATTCYACTTCTCAAAAGGACTTGTGTGTTTCACGCATAGTAAAGGCAATATTTATCCTGGCTCTCCCAAAAAATCTTCCTGATAACTTCTGTTCTCCGAAAACAGCTTAATTTCGTATGGATTTATTGAAGTTAATTGAAGTTAATAAGTCTCTTTAAGAAAATGATTTCCCCTTCTTATCATCTCACAGTGAATCTGGAATTCTCTAGATTAGAATAGGTATTTTATGAATTAATATATTTAAATAATATTTATGAATTTTTATTGATTCCAAGAAGTACATGGTTATTTTCTCTTTTTGCCACTTCTAAAATCTAAGATGGAGTGTACTGTGGTTTTAATAAGTCATTAAGGCGAACTAGCAAGCCACTATACCTGTCTTTATCTAATCATTAAAAGATTTAAATTTATTTTAAACAATATAGTTGGTATTCTTGACTTCTATGTACTTCAGCTACTGAAACTACTGAATATTAACTTTGGTCTTCACTCCACACATGTTTAGAGAATAAACTTGCTGTTGCTCAAGATGCAAGCCATATCCTTAATATATGGCTTTGAATTTTAATCCTATTGATAATGGTTATATAGAAATGTAGGAATGCAAAATATGTAGGTATAAAAGTTTCTTTATGCAAGTGTGGCAAACATGCTGTTGGATTTTTTTAGTTTCTATATAGTAACTGATTAAATCAGAGAGTTTTTTTCCTCCATTACTATTGTGTGTTTAGTTAGGTTCAGTTTCAGAACTAAAAAAAAAAAGATTATTGGAAGAGTATAATACTTAAAAATGTCACTTTTAATCAAGGGTAACAAAGAGAGCAGCCTTCTCACTACCCATTTGCTCATTAATAGAAGCTGGCTGTTACCTTAAAACTCTTGAAAATTCAGATTCAGTGGAGTACAGAGATCAGTACTAAACTTCAGTGAAAATTTAGCACAGAGCAGAAAAGTAAGGGGATAGTAACTAGTACTGAATAGTACTAGTTTATTGTATTTTTTGTGAGGTAACAAGATTATTTGTATATTATTATAACGAGTCTCTGTGTTTTGTAAATTATAAAATGTATAACAGTAACACTGCATTTTTTGTCAGCTTGACAGAGCGAATTCTTTGTTGAATCAAGTGCAACAGCCATACAAATACCTGATTGAAACAGTGCAACAGAGAGATTCTCAGATACATCTACAGAAAGAACATATTGCACAACTTGAAAAAGATGTCAGGTAATAAAAATCACTATGCTTTTTATTTTAAACTGTAAGTGAAATAATTTTTATGTTTATCATTTGTGAACAATATCCAAATGATCATAAAAGACTTAGACACTGTATCAATGACTAAGTCTTTATGCAGGAACTTCAGCATCTGATATTTTCCTCACAGTGTCATGAAAGAGTGATTAGACCTAGAACATCAGTAATGAGAGTCAAATTTTTAAAGGTAAATTTGAAGTTGCAAAGAGTTAYCAAGAAGTGGAGAAAATTAAAGTGCATGAAAAGAGAGAATGATGCATATGAGATGTACAAAATTAAAAGTAAAGAAAGTAAAGAAAACCAGAGAAAAATAACAGAGCAGTGCACTAGCAATGGGTGATGTGTTGGTAAGTAGTACCAGACTTCACCTAGGTCCAGCTGCTAGAAACTTCTGGTCACTTCCCACCATCACAGAGCTTTATAAACTGTGTTTGCCCTCTGGTTCTCAATAAACTGTTGTAAAATAATCTGTCCCATATTTGCCAAAAAGGAGGATAGCTGTGTTCCAGTGCACCAGTTCAGAAAAAAAAGAAATGTGTTTTAACAGGTAGATAACCTGATTTAGGAGATGCATACCAGCAGTACTCTACTAGGGCAAGTAGACTTCCTTACCACCAGGTAGTCCCTRATTTTGATCTTCATAACCCTAGACTTAAAAAGACATCCTGGGTAGCTGAGYGTCCCTACAGCTCAGAGGAAAACATTGTCTGGTATAGAGTTGATTATGTTGTTCCTGTGCTTTCCCAAAAGTATATTTGGCATCAAAGTTATTCTAATTGGGAAGGAGCACATTGTAGCAGTCTTTTACTATAGGAGTAGCAATTTGGAAACTACTGATGCTAGATTTAAATTAAAATATCTTTTAGGTGATTTCAGATTATGTCGTGAACCAGTCTAGCTCCCAGCTAGCCCCAAACTGGCCAGTGGATCAGATTAAGTAAATTAAAGTTTATCCCCACCAAATAAATGCCAAGTAAAGCTCTGCTGGATCAAAAGATTAAGACCAGTGTTCCTGTCAGTCTTTCTTAGCTTGTTAAACAGCATTTTCTAGGTTCATATATTCAATATTTTTGAGAGAATGAGTTYAGAGAATTAAAGCTTCTCAAAGATAGCCTTAAATTTTTGTAGCTAATATTGATGCATTTAGAAAAGTAACAGTGAAAACACTAAACAGGGCCTATGTAGCCTGTGTTCTCCTTATCTTAGAGCTGAGGCAACAGTTAATATCTGTAAACTGTTATACAATTGTACAAAACGCGAATAAATTTTATGTACAATATATGCATTCATTTATGTCTAGAAAACAATTTGGCAAAAAACAGCTCATATAAGAATAATAATGTTAAAAGTCATGTTCTCAAGTTGACTTTTAAAATAGTAGTTAGGGATCTTTTGCTTACAAATCTTTTAAAATCTCATTTTTGAAAACCAAAATATAGGTAAGTAATGCAGTGTTATTCCTGTGCCCTGACATTCAAGACTAGATCTCCCATTTTATCCTCACACCCACCTGTGGTTGGTCATGCTTTTCCTTCCTGTGTGTTTTGCGTGCAGAATCTGTGGTGCAAAAGCGTCCTTCATGTTGTGTCCTTTCCCATTCTGCCCATCAAAAGTGCTGGAGACTCACAGAGCCATTGAGCCTGGCTGGTCTTTTGACACCAGCTCAAAATTTAGGGTTTTGGCTCACACCAACTGAGAACAAACACTGGAGATAATTCTTGCTGCCATCCTACCCACTGCTGCTAACAAGGGTGCACTTTTATTGTACTTGCTTCTCAAGCACCAGCGGAAATCAGCCCCAACCACGCTGCCTATTCTGTTCAGTATTTGGTTAGCAATAAATTCAGCCATCACAGCTTCAGAGTGGTCACAGAACTCCTCTCCCTTGTTCTAGCCGTGGTGCCTCTCTGTGCAATCCCTTCATCCCAGCTATGGGAATTTGGCACTTGGACTGGCCACCCTTCCTAAGACATAGATAAGATGGTTAAGTCCACCCTTGTGCCACCGTTCAATCCCAGTTATTTCGTCCTGTCAGAGATGGAGGTAGTGATGTATCACTTAATGTGATAACTTAATCACTTTAAGTGCTGTTTGCACTAGACATGTTGTAGTATCAGAACTGATTGCCTCACCTTTTATCGCATTGCAGCTCTGTTTCTCCATTACTAGGTCAGGAATTCCTTACATAGTCATTAAGTCATATCCATGGTGTCACTACCAGGGTTCTTTACCAGCTCTTCCTCAACTTCAATTTGGAGGGACTACCAGGATTGGACTGAGGATGTGCTTGTGTCACACATCCATCAGTTTTTTTCCAAATTGGCTTATAATCGTTTATAATGTAGTGTCCATGACATGCAGCAAGGAATGTGTTCAGGGTTCTCCATGCTGCATCGCTCTAAGAAAGTGTCATTTCTGACAACAGCTATTTCCACAAGAAGAGCGGGAGAGATTCAAGCCCAGCCTTTTGAAATGAGATTCTTGTCGTTGTCCTGCTGGTTCATCCTAAGTTGCTTTCTGGTGTCAGCTTTAAAGGCAGTTTTAACCAGATAAACTCACCTGTTGTCCTCAGTAAACCTTGTACCTCCTTAGCTAAGGCTGTCTTTCAACTCTCCCACTATACCAATGCATGTCTGTCTTTTTGTAGGGAAGTAACTGATCTATGCAAGTGGTTCTCAGGGATAACCTGTGTCAATATCTATTAAATTGGGAGGAGAGGAATAAGCAGGTACTTGCCTGAATCAGTGCCTGCAAGTAGCACAGCCTAACACAGCTGGAACTATTTTGGTGGCCTTGATGGGAATGTTTATGTTCTGGATGTCGTCAACACAGCTTTGTGGATCTTTATAAGACCCTCAGGAGCTGTTGTAGCTGAGGTTGATGCATCGTTGTCATGTCTGCCAGCTTTTCTACCTAGAGACCCAGCTCTGATTATTACAGATACAAGACATTACTGTTTAGATGCCTGTGTGAAGTTGCATGTGTTTTCCCTCTAAGATAAAGGGAGAGGTTACCGAGGTATAAGCTCTTCTAGTTGTAATGCACATGTTCACCATCCACCCTGCTTCCCACTGCTCTTTAAATTCCTCCAGTCTGGCTTTTTGGCAGGGGAGAGGGCTGAGGTGGCCCTGGGAAGATCTGGTGTATGTGCTTGTTCATGGAGCCAGCCATCTCGACATACGCTTGGGATGAAAAATCCCTGACCTCGAATGATAGGACATCTACAGGGTCAGATGTGTGGACCACATCTCAAAACATACTCTGTTCACTGTTAAAGAACCTTTCATTTATGTTGGTTCAACCACTACTCAAGTTGATAAAAGAGTGGTGCTAGACAGGGACAGTTGCATGTATGGGGATGCCTTCTACCTTAGCCCTCTTATGAAGCAATCTCTCTAATATCCAGTTCTTTAACCAGAAATGAGAACACAGCATTTAGCACTTATTACAAAAAAATACTTTGTGATTATGTCATGCAGAGGGGAGAAAAAAAGTGTCTATTAATTTCTTTCTTGTGTGTGCAGTGAAATAATTGTAGTCTTGGTAGATAGTTTTCTCTAAAAAACATGTAGGTGTATAAATAGCTGGAGACATTAAACAAGACTTCATTCATAAAGAGAGGGTATTTATTTTAAATATAGCTACTCCAATTTCTTAGTACTACTGGCTGGGTTTTTTAAAAGTGTTTGGTTTATCCGAAAGCACTTCTCAAAAGCCTAGCTGTGTGGTAGATCTAGAAGCAGTGCAAGGATTTTGCTCACTAAAAAGCTGTATATTGAAATGTTCCTTACTAAACATTTTGAGTTCTTTAATTGCCATGTAAACATTCTCAAGTTCACCTGTTTTTTTCCCATTGCAGAATTCTGGCGATCTAGAGATTTTTATGAGAATATTACTTTTTTTGAAATATGCTTTATCTGATTCAAATGATATTGCAGTTTACTTGGAAATGCTCCAAACAAAATTTATATAAATGCATTTGATTTTTTTTTTCTACAAACGTGTCTTTTCTGAGCTGTGTTTCAACTTATAAAACTGCTRCACTTTTTAATTTGGACACTTCACAGGCCAGAATTTTTAAGCCAGCTGAAGCACTYCAATTGAAATCATGGAGCACAAGGTTTGTAGATGACATTTTAAATCTGATGTGGGGCTATTCAGCTGCGCTGTGAGAGATCACTCATTTTTCATGCTAGTCGCTTTTCTCTTCTGAACAGTTTCCATTTACTTCTTTTTCTAACTACATCTGTTTAAAAAAAAAACAATTAAAACTTTCAAAATTATCTGCCTGTGCAATTATCTGTAATTGTCAGAGAYGGGACAATTGTGTGCATTTAATATTCATTCACATTATCTACCTGCATTGTAGATTCAGTTTTATGTACAAAACCTTCATATATACCATTTTAGATTTGATTTTCTGGATAGTAATGTTTGGATGTTAACACAAAATGCAGAAAATACCCCAAGATCAGACTTAAGTTTTCAAATTCTTCATGATTTAACGTGAAAGTAACAGAAAGACACAATCCTTGCTACTTAGATCATCTGGGAAAGTGCAGTTTTTTTAAAAAGGAATATTTTTGGTAAGCTAAACAAGCAATAATAAAGAGTGGTACATAAAATCATTTATTTATATTTATTTAGTGTATTCAGCATAAACATTATTTAGAATGTCTAATAGTAGAATCTTTTTAATAGAATAGTAACTAGTACATTCAGGCCAAAGTTTTTTTAAAAATGGCTTAATTGCCCAAATTCAAAAGACTTCAAAATCTGAGGTTAGGAAATGCTAGTTTGCAGAAAATCAAATCACCTACATGTATCTTTCTTCTAAAATCCAAGAACTTTGGCTTTAGATCCCAAAGAAAACAATGCGAAAGGAAGCAGTGATTGCCATGAGGAAAATGTGTGCATATGACAAGTGTATTCCATAGTAAGTCCTGCATTCCTGGACCCTGGATTCATCCCTGGTTAGGTCTTGCAAGCGTGGTGGGACGAAACTGCGCGAGCTCCCAACATCCAGGTTTCTTCTACATGGAGACCAAAGCACTAGGAAATTAAGTTGCTGCCCCACTTTTCAGTAATTTTCTGTCCTAGAGATGTTGGAGCGCAGGATGGGCTACTTCTCCTTCAGTATAAGCAATATTAGCATCACCTAATTCTTGTCTTTATGCACAAATAAGATTAGAACAGTACATGGGTCAGTTCTGTCATATAGATTCACAAGAAGAAGAAGCAGGGATAGGTTCTGCTCCATAGATGAAACTGAACCTTGAAAGCTGACTTCTGCTTAGTGATAAGCACTGGTGTATGTGCTTAAGTGCACTATTTAAGGCATACGGGAGCTTTCTGTTATTGCTTCTGTCATAAGTTTGTGAGTCATGTGCTAAAACGATTAGTTTCTGCTGTTAGGAAGTACATAAAAGCCAAGAAAAATGGAAATACCGGTAGTTTACAACGCATGAACTCATGAAAAAAATAGCACAACAATTTCATTATGATTATAAGTGGCACAGATGATAAAAATCTTGAAAAAAAAAGGATCTCTGTAGTGTTTCATAAATGTTACAAGTTTCCTTTCAAATAACTTTCAGTAATGCAGCGTAAGCAATTTGGTCAAACTATAAAATTTTCCTGAGAATTAAGAATTAAGGAATGCCTAGAAGGAATTGTCAGCCATAATATACAGTACAGAGCTTGTAAAGACCTGGAAATCCCCAGGGCAAAGAATGACATTGCTTCTTTAAAATAAGCTGATGATACACAGAGAATTAAAAAAAAAAAAAGAAGTCATTTCTGGGAAGTAAATACAGGGAATATTAAAGAAAAGAATCTTGTGTTTGCAACATATGTAATTGTTTCGTATTTTAATAAGCTTTTGAATCTCATGACCTATATTCAGTACTGCCTATTTGCAGTCCACATGCCAAGTTGCTTTTTGGTAATTTGTTTATTTGTATTATACTTTTTTTTTCAATTGAGTCATTATAATGGTGGATAAAATTGATCTCCAAAAATAAACTTTGCAGCTCTTATAAGAAATAGATAATATATAGGCTATATGAACGCATTATATGAATGCTGGGTTCTCTTGTTGTATTGAATAATAAATGGTTAAAAAGATTTACAATTTCTGCAAAAACTACTGAGCTTAAAGAGTTGGAGTATGTTTTTCCTTGWATTTGTTATTTAAACATTTCTGTAGGCAGTGATATTAAAGCAGAGGGAAAAGTGTGCTGCTCATAGTGATTCTTTAAAAATAAAGGAATTAAAGTCATTTTGAAATGGAAGTGTAAATATAGGAAGCCTTGCTTCTATTTATAAAATAAGTCCATTTTACCTCAAAGAAGCCAGTAGATTGTAACAAAGTGTTCTAAGAATATTTTTAAGTTATCCTTTGGAGAAACAAAAAATGTTTTACAATGATTTTGAATGCCATTTTTGTTTGACTGAAGTGAGATCTTGTATGTATGTGTGCATTCAGACTCATTTATGGAAAAGAGAATCCAATGCTTGAACACATAGAAGGATCATTTGCTATATTTACTTGAGCAGATTTTCATTGTTGCCAGCATTTAGCTTTGGAAAATGCATGTTTCAACCAGAATACAAGATTAAAGGAGATTATCTGTTGCTATTACTGTATTGCCTATCCTCTTTCTACCAGCCTTTTAAATAAAGAAAAGACAGCTTTGCTGCGTGTCAAGAATCAAATGGCTGCAGATTTGGAGAAACTTCTAAATCATCGTGAGGTAATCTTCCTGTTTCAGCATTACTGCCATTAATGTTTTCTCTCCCTCCTCCCTGTTAAATCATGGGGAAAGTGGTTAACTTTGCCTTGTTGTTTGCTTTTGTCGCTGTTGTTTTTCAAAGCCTAAGTGATAGGTAGTGCCTGTCAGGTACCAAGAGGTTCTGAGTTGTCTCTGAGCTGCTGATTTCTCTCTGTCTCACTCTGGCCAGCGGCCCTGGTCTCGCTGTCCTTTCTTATCTTATGCATATAACAGATACGCCTCGCAGTCTGTAAGTCAGGTTTCAGCAAGGGAAAGGTAACGTACTGACACACAGAGATGCTTATGGKCTGCCAGGCCTGCACGTGCCACGATGTGCCCAGTGCCTGCCACGGCTGCYCCGTCACTGGGGCCAGAAGGCTGGACACGGCGTCACACAGTTCCCCTGCAGCACATGCACCAGAGCTTCCCTCACCTCCAGGGTGGGCCTGGGGGAGAGCAGACAGGATGGCAGGCGCCCAGGTTGCGTCCTGGCAAGGGATGCATATGGATATATCTGAGTTTCATCCAGGCAGGGAGTCAGGGTGCTTCYGCAGAGCGTTCTCTGGTCTGAAAGTGGGGAGTATGTGGAGTCTTACTGTAAGTTAACTTTATGGGAATTCCCAAGGGCTTTTGTCAAGATCCCTCTCCAGCAATCGTAAGAGACTAAACTGTCATGGGATTCAAGAGAAGATTCTTGTGCGAGTTAAAAGTCTGAATAAAGGATAGAAGTAAATGAAATTCGCCAAAGCAGTCCCACAGATAAAATGATCTGAAAAGGGGTGACTAGTGATACAAAAGTTTGTTGATGCTACAAAATATTCAGGATATTTAGAAAAAAAAAAATTTTAAATGATCTCTCAGAGCTGCTGAGTAATTTGTCAAGGACTTGCAGAGAAAATATGGTGCCAGTGTTTCTGAAATGATGAATGTGATGAAAAACAGCYCTGGCTGTGTGTGCACTGTGATGGGATCTGATGGGACCTCTCTGGAAAAAGAAGATCATGTCATTATATGAATAGTTCTGTGAAAACACCCTTTCAGTTTCTAGTCTAGGAAGAGCAGAGATGGGGAGATTCGTCCCAAGGGATTTGCAAGTCACTTAAATTATTCTTTCCGTATTTGAGTTATCACCCTTTGTAATGCTGTTATTTCTGTAGAAACCTGACTGTCCATGCAGCTGACTATCCACGTSCCCTCACTCACACCTCCAAAACTGTTCTCCCTCATCTCCTTTCCTTGCTGTTCCCCCAAATTCTCTTCTCAGTTCACCAATATTATCATGAAATGGTCCAAACCAGTTTTGTTTGTGCTACCTCGTTACAGAACCATTTTCTATAGAAACCAAACCAAAATGATCTCACTGACAGCTGAGCCTGTGAGCTTCAACCTGAGCGAAAACTATACTTGTTCTGTTCTCCAAGTGCAGACCTCAAGTAGGAGAGGATYGACTGAAATAAAAGTAAAAAACAAAAAAGAGAACACAAGTTCTTAGCTTATTTACTCTCCGTGCTGAATCACCCTGGGTGGCCGTCTGATGCAATTTCCTCCTGGAATAGTTTTTGCATTTAGCACTCTGAATTTATTGTACTGCTCGTGAAAAGTTCCATGCATCGAGATTAAAATAGTCTAATTGCAGAACAGAGTGTAATTGAACTTGCTTCTCTCTCATACCCTGCAGGTGTCATTGACCTGGCAGGATCATCTTTAGGTACAGCAGAAGTGATCGTTTGCTACCTGTTACTTCTGATGTCTGAATCCACCCCTTAGGAGGAATAATTTACCTTAACACAAACTATTTTTAATAAAAAAMCCAGCTTTTTTAATTACAATGTTATGAAATTCCTTTATGGGGGAAAAAAATAGAAGTCCAAGATTTCATTTATGTTTTCCTAAACCTGCAATCAATAAATAATTAGAAAAAAAGTCCAGTGTACTTTTGTATTTGAAGATCCTGAAGATCAGATGACTTGCATCYTAGCTGAATCACTCAGTAAAGATCAAAATATAATTTTTATAGCAAAAATATCATTTCCTCTTGTTATTATAAAACAGTAATTTTCTCGACTCAGTTATTTTTAAAGATGTTCAATTATAATTCCAAGTCCTTTCTTAACTGGATTTGATAACTTTGATACAGCTGTGAAACTGTGTGTGCTGTTGGAGAATATATGTGAGGTAACAGGTAGGATTCACTTCCTAATCTCTTCACCTCTTGGAAAACTTTTCAACCAGTGCAGATACACAAAAAATGCTTTGTTTTAGTTGCTGTTATGAGGGAATATTTTCTTAAAAAATGAAAATGAAAAACAGCTTTCTTCTTTTAAGTAAGGAATGGTTGCAGACTTAAACGCTTGTGCATTTTTTCCSCTATTTTTTTGACAACTACAAAAAGGAGAAAAGATGCATAACTCTGATCACTCTTTGGCACGACATTAGTTACCTGGTATTGGTAAGCAGGTAACTGAGTGTTCTTATTCCTGTGCAGCTTTCACATGGTTCCAACCTAGGACTCTTTTTTCTTTTCCTTGCAGTGGAGTAAGTCAAGAAAAGTGAAGAATTATTATGAAGTCAAGGAAATTTAAGTTTTATACACAAAATGCTTTTGTTAGTATTATAGAAAAAAATACAGCATTTTTCGGGTAATTGATTATTATGTGTATAATAAGAAATGAGAAGACTAATGATGTAGTCGTGTGCTTATGTATTATGCAATTTTCTGAATTTTCAGTATTGCAGGCAGCTGGGCTACAGGGCTAATTTCAAATTAATTTCTTTCTTTTTTGTTTTTGTTGATTTATTTGTTTTTGTTTCTACCACTTCTCTCCAGACAGTCCRCTCCCAAGCAGCTCTGGCTTGGGTGCCTAGTTCTAGGATTGCTCCATCAGCCAGTGTGCACTGCAGCTGATTAAAGTCAGTATGAAGTGATAAACAGAGAAATAAGGAAGGAAAATAAGGGAAGATCTTAGCAATGCTTTGTAATAAAACAACAAAATTGCTACTCTAGAACTGTTCAACATCCTTACCTCCAAATAGCCTTCATCCCTAAATGGCTACCTATATAAACTATTCCTGATATGCAGCTTTTTCTGCTTCATGTCATTTCACAACTTAAAACTTTTAAATTGCAGCCAGCAGTGCAAGCAAGTCTGAATGGTGTAAGCCTTGTGAGAAAGAAAGCAAATGCTTGATCCTGAAAAAGGCTTTGTGAAGAACTTTGCTCTTGCCCTTGATGTCCAAAAAATGAGCARATATTTCCAAAATGCCTACAGTTTTGTCTAATTTCTTTGTATAGGTGTTAAAAATAGTCCTTGCTAGTCATAACAAAAGTTTTGCAAGCCATATATTTAGGAAAAGATMGTTACTGAAAAGTATCATTAGAAGTTGCATGTTTGGGGAAAGAAAGCTGTGAAATGCTAGTCCTATGGAAAAGACTAAGAAGCAGAGAAATAAATAAAGGTCATTTTTAGGAAAATATGTGAAAATAACAAGTCGTATTCTCTTTAATTTGGTTTTGTGTTTCTCTTTCCTCACTTCTGATGATTCCTAATGCCGCCTTTTGTTTTTTCACTTTAATGCAGGCCTCTTACAGCAGTCTTACTTTTTAAAAATTCCCTGAAAGGCACATAAATGTCTCACGTGTTGARATCTTTTTACATGATACGACAGCTTAGTTTATAATGAATTAGTGAGTTAGTCTTCATGTAGGTTTCTTTACCACCTAACCATTATACAAATATGCACAAACATCACAATTTCACATTTAGTATCCATGCTGTTACTTAAAAAAATATATATCTAATCTTGATTTAATTAAAACTTTCTTAGACAGGGTACACATTTTAAGTCTGCAGTCTCTAACTACTGAATTGCAAAATCTGATAAAAATACTCATTATGGTTTTAAATGTTTTGTGCATGCTATCATGTAATGTAATAACTACCAGTCCTATTTTTGTTTAGTTATCCCTCATGGTATATCATTATTTCTTGTTAGGAATTATCTTATTTCCCTTGAGTTTGCAAGAACATTTGAATTCATAGAATATCTAAACCCAGGATATTCTGTGATATTCATAGTTATGATAAATTGACTTGTAAGTGTTTTAAAATTACAAGCAAAATGCCCAAACAACCTTCTGTTGCCTTAAATGACAGTTGCAATAACTATATGGTTTTGATTTAAGATATTTCAACCTGTGTGGTCTCASATTATATTAACTTTTTTTAATGAAATGTTAGGGTTTGAGGGTTTTCATTTTCAGTTTTATCTCCATATGATATCAGCTGGATTTATAATGCTTGGTTTGGAGTTAATTATAGCATTTAGGTATATTTGTTTGTATAAAGAAATACATGTGTGCTTAATCTTACTTTCCTTTTCACCTATTTTAAATTTGGGAGAGAAAAGTTAAATATCTTAAGTTCCAGACTATAGAAGAATTCATACAGGGCTTCTATGTGAGCTCTTTTATTAAAGAAAAAAATGGCACTAGGTATTATTTCCTGTAATGAAATAGTTCATTATTTTAAATAATGTGGACAGAACTAAGCTAATTCAGTGATGATTATATTTTACTGTAGAAAATTAAAGTGAAAAGCAGTCACTTGCCTATATATTCCATAAAATATGGGGTCAGTTCATATGAGAGATAAGAATCTTTTCTTGAAATTTGGACCCAATTCTTATTTTTTAATGGCCTTCTCTTTCCTTTTTGTCCTGGTGAATAAATGAATGTTGAAAACTTTTTAATCTTATCTTCTCATTTATATCATTGAGTATCTGCTGCTGATATAAAAGTTACTTTCTTCTTTGAATGGACCAGTTGTGCTGTTGAGAGTGGGTTCAGGTCCCCTACTGCAGGTCCCAGAGTCATGCAGAGGTTGTGATGTTGAGGAAGAGCCCGTGCCAGGCRGGTTTTATCCTTCCTTCCCTTGCTGCTTCCCTCTTTGAGCTACCAGGACGTGTTGGGCTATGCTGCTTTA